AGACCTGGACGCACTGCTGGCTGGTGGGAAAACTTTGAGAAGGAAATTGTTCTCCCACAGGAATGGCGTGAGAACTTCAGAATGTCACGGTCGTCATTACTGTCGCTCTCGGAGTTACTCCTTCCTTACATTCAAGGGAAGAGTACTGTAATGCGATCTCCAGTCTGTGTGGTCAAAAAAGTTGCATGCACGCTATATTATTTGGCTGACGAGGGAAGACTGCGTAAAACGGCCAATGCATTTGGCTTATCAAGACAAGTAGTCTCAAACATAATTAGAGAGGTGTGTAAGGCTATAACTGTGTACTTGGGACCATCTTACATAAAAATGCCAACAACAGAGACTGCTGTGCGTGCACTTGTTGAGGGATTTGAGCAGGCTTATGGTCTCCCTCAGTGCCTTGGAGCTGTGGATGGGACTCATGTGGAGATAAAGCAGCCATCAGCTAATTCTACAGAGTACCTAAATAGGAAGGGGAGGTTTTCTCTTAACATACAAGCCACCTGTGATTACAAGTACAGCTTTATTGATGTAGTTGTGAAATGGCCAGGGAGTGTGCATGATGCCAGAGTTTTTGCTAACTCCACAATAAACACAAATCTGAAAAACATGAAGATTCCCCCCTGTCCAAGACAAATTGTGGAGAACGAAGACGCTATACCCATTTACATACTGGGTGACCCTGCATACCCACTTCTACCTTACCTGATGAAAGAATATGCTAACGGAGGAAGCAATGTTCAGGAGCAGTACTTTGGACTTTCGTTGTGCCGAGCTAGAATGGTGATTGAATGTGCATTTGGAAGACTAAAAGCCCGATTTGGAGCCCTGAGGAGAGCCATGGACATCAATATGAATGATCTTCCATTTGTTATATATGCATGTTTTGTGTTGCACAATTTTTGTGAGGCATCAAAAGACACTGTGGATGAAAACAGAATAACTGAAGCTATTCAACATGACAGGAACAATCAACCGGACACACAGCCAGTGGTCAGAGGAGACAGCTTGGCAGCAGAAGGAAAGCGGGTCAGGAGAGTCCTCACTCAGTGTCTGGATCCATAAACACAAAAACCTGTGAACTATTTAGCAGACTGCGTTGTTTTTTCATAAAAAAACGTTATAGTTAGCACCATGTATGTTAGAGAATTTTTAAATTGTTTTGTGCAATGTTATTGCATTTCATTCTATTAATGCATGAAAAGCTACCACCCAGGATTTAGATACATTATATAATAGTTTGTAGCTCATTAGACAGACTTTTAAGTGAAATGATTTTACTTTTCTCTCTTAAAATTGGACCTGTAGTGTATTAAATAGTGCTGCCAATACTTTCTGATGAACATGACTGTATTTGTAACTGATAAATGTCATATTCACAAAAATTCACATAAAGAAACTTGCTTTTAAAATGTTTGTCAATTTATTCAAACGAACACACTTAACATGTTCTTATTTTGTGTTTCATTTATGAACAGATCAGATTATAACAGATCTACAACAGATAAAGCTTTTTAAACATGGGAGAAAAGCAGCACAGTTACTGTACACTTTTAAATCAGTGATGCCCAAGTCCATAACTTGGGAGCTACCACAGGTACATTTCAGCTGCATTTTCTTCAACAAACCAGTATGAAATAGCTGATTTCAATCATCAGTATGTATTTGATAGTGGTGTTTTGGAGAAATAAATACATCTAAGTAGCAGTAGCTCCCAAGGACTGGACTAGATCACCACTCTTATAAAGATTCACGTAACAAAAATGTAAATAGTTAAAGTATTGTGCAATTGCTACATTTTAAGCTTTTCACAGTATGTATAAAAAGATAGCAAACAGAAAAAAAAAACACTGTCAGAGTAAATAACACTGTGATTAACAACCTGACATGTGTGCAACCTTGTGCAAAAGTGGAACTTGTATATACTTAACTGTACCAGACTTGTTTCGATGTATAAAACAGTACTCTACTGGTCACTAAAAAGGGCCTGACTGAATGAAAATTGGTCAGTGGCTTCAGCAGGTGTGTGGAACACAGCTTCAGTGTTCATAGTGTTTCCTGGTCTTGTGTTTTGACGTGTTCTGTCAGAAGTGGAGTTGTTTGGGTATGGGTAATTTGCTGAGTTTTGGTGGACAGAATGGTGGGCCATTGTGTGCGAATACATCGGACCTCTTGGCTCATATGGCATGTAGTGTGGTGGTTGTGCAGGTGCATGAATGACCTGTTTCAGAAGAGAAAACCCATCAACAATCGATGTGGTAAGTCTTTCCAGTGTATTGGACATTTTTGAATAGTTTTCGGATGCTTTTTGTTCTGATGTCTCAATGATTTCCACCAGTCTCTTTTTCACACGCTGGTCTTCCTCAAGAGCATTCAGCCACTGGGTCTCAGCAGGCAGCTTTCTCCTCAGACGGTCGTGTCTGTGTCCTTTTAGTTTTGCCTTCAAAAGAGAAATGAAAATCATCACAATTAAACATAAAAAAGTAAACCTGGATCATGTTGATGTTGTACTTTTCACATCACTTCTACATAACAATATGTAATAACAGCGTATCCAATGTTTGCTATATGTCTTAAAGTGTATTTTGTACCCACCACCCCATCAAACTAATGAATATGTAGGCCTAACATAATATGAGATGAGTAAGAGCATGATGGTGTCATTTCTTTTTTTGCAATAATAATAAAAATAAATCAGCAACCCGTACACAGTAAAATATAAAAAACATCACATTCCAGCCTCCACTACACACCTCAACTCTTGCATAATTTTTAACACACATATTGCCTTAACTGTATTTTTAATAGCAACACAATTCAACAAACCTGTTCCGTGAATTATAGTACATCCAACAGATGAACATTTACAGCAAAAGTACTTTTATTTATGAGGAATGGACAGAAAAATATACGTACATCAAGCAGGTCTCTCCTCTCCTTTGAAGTAGGACCCACACTGCTTTCATTATCAGACCCTGTGTCTGCTACATCCATGGTAGTGGAGGAAGAAGATGTGGATGGTGAGGGTAGGGTCCGAGAATGATCCAGGTCAGCTGTTTCACTACCGGAGGATATGGTAGTACTAGCTGGAGAGCCACCCCAGATTTGTTCGCACAGTTCGAAGTACAGAAGAACCACTCGACCGTGTCCACTCCTGCGTCCTGTATCAACAGCATGGCGATATTTACCTCGGACTGCTTTCATTTTTGTTGTTAAATTCCCGCGCGTGATGTCGGCATGTGAATGGGGAAACTCGTCGGAGGACTCCGTTGGGTAATGCTCTAAAAAAAGCGCTAAAATATCAACATACTTGTTCTGACAGGATTCCCAGTCGACATTTTCCTGAGTTTTATTAACTTTGTACTCCAACACTGTATTTAATAGTAGTTCAACCTCGCGGTCTGTCCACACAAACGAACCTCCAGGCGCCATGATTCAATACTAACAGGAAGTTGTGGTTGCTTTGAAGGGTTGTGATTTGCTGATATACGTTTCACCTTTGCACTACACTGCCTCCTATGGGTTGGGCATATTCTTTACAACGCTCTGTGGTGAACATCACCGGGTTCATGTAGACGATCATTTTCTCTATCCGAACATGTATGTACGGCGATATTTTTTTGCGCGGATATTCGTTTTTTCAAACACCAGGCTACGTGTGTACAGGGCCTTAATCATTTAAATGTAGTTTGGCAGAAGGAAAAACGTGTTTTGGACAAAAAAAGCTGGTGAACTTTGGAGGATATTTCCCTCTCATCTAAAAAATAAATAAATAAATAATGAAAGAAAGAAAGTTAGATTGCAGCAGCATGTGTGTGTGTGGAGTGTGTGTGGAGTGTGTGTGTGTGAGCCTCCTGATCCACCGGAGCATTTGATATTTTCTTTGTTCCTTTATCGTTGGTTCCTGGGAGGTGCTATCTCCAAAGATGGACGTGCCACGCATTGAAAAGCCTAAATAGATGGACTGCTGAGGTGTGCTTGGAGGAGCGCATGCAGCACTCCCCCCCACCCCACCCCACCCCACCCGAGATTTCCCCCAATATGAACATCTCAGGGAGCCCTATTTGAGTAAATGACCAAGGCTGTGAGGGTTAGAGAACATGTAAAAATGAGTCATTTCACTGTATATGCGCTGCGCGTTACGTCATTAAGGTTGTGATTACAGTTATATATATATATATATATATATATATATATATATATATATATATA